GTACCTAACCAATTTAATGGCCTTTGTATACAACATTTTCTCTTTCGAATCCAAAATCTGAACAGGCATCTCCTCATTCAAAAAATCCTCTCTAATTTGAAGCGGCTCATAATCTATCACATGCGACGGACTACGCACATATTTTCTCAGCATAGACACATGAAACACATTATGCACTCTTGCCAACCTAGGGGTAGAACAGCACGGTACGCAACCTCACCAACCTTTCTCCAATACTCAAATGGTCCAATGTATCTAGGACTCAACTTTCATTTCTTTCCAAACTTGATGACTTCTTTCCATGGTGATACTTTCAAGAATACCATATCCCCACATGAAACTCTAAATCTCTCCTACGATGATCAGCATACCTTTTTTGTCTACTTTGAGTAGTCAATAATCTCTCTCTGATGGTGATTATTATGTGTAGCATCCTCCACCAAATCAGGTCCCAACATTTGCCTCTTACCAACCTCATACCAACACAAAGGAGACCTACATTTCCTTCTATACAAATCCTCATAAGAGGCTACTCCCAAACTAGAATGATAACTATTATTATACGCAAACTCCATGAGCGTAAATAATCATCCTGATTACCTCTCTACTCCAAAGCACAAACCCGCAACATATTTTTCAAGGGTTTGAATAGTCCTTTCCAATTGCCCGTCTATCTAAGGATGATAAGCTGAACTAAAATTTAACCGAGTACCCATAGCTGACTGTAATGCACTTGAAAACTTAGACACAAAACGAGGGTCCCGATCTGACACTATTGACACAGGTGCACCATGCAGTCTAATAATTTCATTCACATACAACTGTGCAAATCGAGCTAGAGAATAGTTCACTCGTACTGCAATAAAATGTGCTGACTTGGTTAATCCATCAACAACTACCCAAAATATATCGTGATTACTACTAGTACGAGGTAATCCCCACACGAAGTCCATGGTAATATGATCCCACATCTACTTTGGTATAGGTAAGGGTTGTAGTTTTCCCGCAGGTTTCTGATGTTCTACTTTAACCTGTTGACAAAAAAACACTGAGCCACAAATTCTGCAATATCATCCTTCATACCATTCCACCAAAAATGTTCATGAAGATCTCGATACATCTTAGTGCTTCCAGGATGAATGCTGTAACTAGAACTATGCACCTCCGTCATAATCTCCTTTATCAAATCACCACCAGCAAGAACACAAATTCGGCTACGGAATCTAAGCAACCCATCATCACTAACCACAAAGTCTACATGCTTACCCTCTACCGTCTCTTCTTTTAATACACTTACATTGGGGGTCAATCTCCTGAGCTAACGAATTCGTTTTCCCAAGGTTGGCTGAACTGTCAATTGACTACAATAAGTTCTATCACCAGGCATAACAACCTCAAGCCTTAAACGTCTCATGTCTTCCACCAAACAACTCTCAATAGACAAAACAACTACATCTTCAACTACGACCTTCATACTTAAGGCATCTGCCACTATATTTGCCTTCCTCGGATGATACAAAATATTTACATCGTAATTCTTTAGTGACTCAAGCCATCTTCTTTGCCTCAAAATTTAGTTCATTCTGTGTAAAAATATACTTTAAACTCTTATGATCAGTGTAAATCTCACATGACTCTCCATACAAATAATGTTGCCAGATCTTAAGAGCGAAAATCACTGCTGCTAACTCCAAGTCATACTGTAGACACCCCATTTTTGACCGCCCTTAAGACTTGGCACTACTGATGGTTTGCTCTGTGTTGAGAGATGTGCAGGGCAAAGAATCAATTTCTTCGGCAAGAAGAGAGGCAAATCTTTCAAAACACTTTGTTAGGGTTTTGGAGTTGAAGAAAAGAGGAAAGGAGAGGAGAAAACTAGCTTGGGAGAAGTTCGGCATGAATCCGGATAGAAGCGAGTCGAGCAGCCCTCGCGGA